TTACTCAAAGTCAGATAGTCTCCCCTAACCTGAAGGCAGGTAGTCCCAAAGTGTGAATGAGTCTGGGGCTTTTATGGACTCAGAATGGGGAAATGTGTGCTGATTAGTTTGTGAGTGTGCAACAAAGGCTAAAAAAGACACCACTCAAAGATGGACACAACAGTGTAAAAAAAACATTAGGGAAGGGTAGGTATATGTAAAATAGGTGAAGGGTGGGGATCAATCAGAGAAAAGCACACCAAACGGGAAGAGAGGTTCTCAATCTGGTCTGTGGATTTATTCGAAACTTGTAGCTTGGTTTTCAGGCTTCAAACTGTCTTTAGTTTGAAGGTCAGGTTTCACCCGGGACCCACCGCTGTCTGCCTAGGGATTTGCCTGCCTCCTGCCGCTATCATCAGGCTAATAGTATTGTTCAACTATGGATTCGTTCATAATTTGAGTTTGCAAGGCAAAACAGCATAGATGATGTGAGTCCATGGGCAATTATTAGGACAACTGCACCTATACAACTTCAGGGTATTTGGATGAAGATGGCGACAATAACAAGCACCATTTGGCTGCTTACAGAAGAATACTCAATGAGACATAGAACAGTTAAGGGGAACTATAATCTTGTAACAGGGTCTACATGATTTTGAAGCAGTAGGCAGCAAACAACTACGAGGAAGTGGGTCAGAGAGCAAGCTGACTTCATGATTCATGCTGAATTTGCTGCAATCTTGGTTTATTTTTTTTCTCTCCCTCCCTTCTTCCCTAATTAACTTTATGAAGTTTATAGGGATTGTTTAAATTGAAGCTTACACAGCATCCTGAATTACAGAAAGGAATAAAGGCTTGGAGCTTCCTGGGGGCTGGTGGCAACACAAGTTATGGGAGAGCAAGGGAAGGAAATGTGTGGTAATAGAGATTGTCTTCTTATGCAGTTAAAAAGTCTTTCAGGTCATAAAAGTTGTCTCAAAGCAGCCCTCAGAAGAACAGGTGATTGTCTGAGTGTGGCGTCAGCCTCCAATCTCTCCTGTGATCCAAGTTAATCTTCCCTGGTTGACAAGATCCCCAGAGAGGGGATTCATGACAAGTTCCTTTTGGACACGCCAGCTTTAGGCAGGTAAGGGGAGCTCAGAGACAGCCACTGTCTGTATCCACTGTTCCCCAAGTGCCCTCAGTTCTAATAATCAGTATACCAAAGTGGCATATTTTGGGGTGGCATCTCCTGAACTCCTTCACATGTAAAGTACTTAGCATAGTCATTTGGCAGGATGTGGGCGCTCAGAGGAGGTTAGGTATTATTATGATACAAAGTTATTCATTCAACATTGAATCTCTCCTACTTAATGGGTGGCAGGTTCTGTGCAGGAGTGAACAAAGATGAGTAAGACACTCTCTCTGGCCTCAAGGAGCTGTCAGTTTAGTGAGAGACAGGTGTGGAGACAAAGATAGCCACAATCCAGTACTATCACAAGAAGATGAATCAAATGCTATAAGAGCTAAGAAGGAAGCAGCCTCACCCACAGGGGAAAATCAGGATGTGCTTCCCAGAGGAAGTGATCTTTGAGCTAAGTCATGAGTATTGAATAGAAATTTGCCAGGCACAGACAAGGAAGACGACACTCCAGGCAGAAGGTACCACCTATGTGAATGCATGAAGGCCTAAGAGAACATGACAGGTTTGGAGAACTAGGAGAGTTTGCTAAAGGTGCAGCTTAGGATCCATGAAGGAACAAAATGAAAAGGATGTCAGCAGGCAGATCAGAAAGGATCCTGAAGACATGTTATTGAATTTGATCTTTAACAGAATGCCCCTCATGGCCCAAGTTATTCTCTCCATGCTTCTAACACCTTGAACACACCTTTTTCAAAATATTTATCAAATTACTATTTGATTATTTGTTTACTTGTCTCTTCATTTGAACTATGGGCCCCTTAAGAGTTCAAACCTTGGGTGGCGTTCTTCGAATTCTCAATGCCTACCATTCAGGTAGCACATAGCACATATGGAAAGAATAAAGGAAGGAATTTCTCCAAGGTCACATAGCTATTCAGTAGCAGAGTTGGGCTAAAGGGCTCCTCCCACCTCAGTCTCCCAAAGTGTTGGGATTACAAGCCTGAGCGACTGTACCTGGCCAGATTAGTGCTTTTTATAGTGTGTTACTTAGAGCCCTTGAGTCCCTCACCTGGAGTGCCACTGAGCAGGCTGAGGAAGATGGGCCAGTGGCTGAGTTGGCAGGCTTCTTTGTATCCTCTTCAAATACATCAGTCCTTTTAGAAATTATGGGCCTCTCTAAAACTTATTTTGGAAAAAGAATTATGCTACTACAAAAAGTTTAAATACCACTATACTTTAATGATTGCTAAGTACCCTAAACTAGGATTTTTTAAAATCTCCTATGCACAACAGTTTAATGTGATAAAGTGTTTACACACAAAACGCAGCAAACAACTCATTTTTATTATTCCTTTTATTTTTCTTTCCTTCTTGAGACAGTCTTGCTCTGTCACCCAGGCTGGAGTGCAGTGGCGCAATCTCAGCTCACTGCAGCCTCCGCCTCCCGGGTTCAAGCAATTATCCTTAGTATCCCGAGTAGCTGGGATCACAGGCGCCTGCCACCATGCCCAGCTAATTTCTGTATTTTTAGTAGAGACGGGGTTTTGCCATGTTGGTAAGGCTGGTCTCGAACTCCTGACCTCAGGTGATCTGCTCACCTTGGCCTTCCAAAGTGCTGGGATTACAGGCGTGAGCCACCATGCCCGGCCATTATTCTTTTTTTTTCTAACTACTTTTTAATCTTGGTATCCTTTCAAAATAAGATGAAATGCAATACTTAAAATGGCAATTCTAATATATAATAGGCAATCTAAAAGTAATTGGGATACCCCATAAAGACTATCATTTTGGCTGGGCAAAGTGAATCATGTCTGTAATCCCAGCACTTGGGATGGTGAAGCAGGTGGATCACTTGACCTCAGGAGTTTGAGACCAGCCTGGCAAGATGGTGAAACCCCACCTCTACAAAAAAATATATATATGAAAATTAACCAAGTGTGATGGCTTGCACCTGTATTCCCAGCTACTTGGGGGGCTGAGGGGAGAAGATCACTTGAGTCCAGGAGGCAGAGTTTGCAGTGAGCCGAGATCGTGCCACTGCACTCCAGTCTGGGTGACAGAGTGAGACCCTGTCTCAAAAAAAAAAAAAAAAAAAAAAAAAAAAAAAAAAAAAAAAAAGACTAATTTTGAAAGCCATAGAAAATGGCTTACAAAGTTTAGGACCAAATTAAGGTTCTGCTTATTTTTTGCCTCTTAAGGAACAGTAAAGGCATGTTTTAATCCAAGCAAGTGCAGAGAAGCAAATTATCTTTACTCTCACAATTACTAAATTTCTAAGTCTCCTCCACAAGTACTTTCTTTTTCTTTTTTATATTCCCTGCCAAGACTGACCCTGAAAGGTCAGTACTAGAGTTGCTAGAGGTGCTAGACAAACCAAATAGGTAATTCGCCAAAGCCTCACTTCCTTCTTTGTTTATAAAGCAGGGGTTGCAAGGGGAGGTTTATTAGAATCACCTGGGAAGATTTTTCAACCTACACGTGTGCCACAGTTTCCTCTCTCTCTTAGGAAGCACCGTTCTAGTTTGGGGCTTCAATCTGTCCCACATTAAAGATCTTCATCTTTGTAAATCCTACCCAACTAAAGGTTAATGGGGTAGAAACAATTGAACTCAGAAGTCACTGACTTTGTCACAAAGGGCTGGGCAAGTCCCTTAACCTTTCTGGTCTCGGGTTTTTCCTCTGATTTAGAGGGTTCCCTAGAAACTTCGAAATTCTTCTATATGACTGCATGTCATGTCTAAGAAGCCTTCTGAACTACTCCTAGCATGGAATGACTTGCCCTTTGTTGGTTTTCCAACAGCCTGTGCAATACAGCATATTACTTATTTTATACTGTCCTATATTGCCCTCTAGTTGTTTTTTATGAAACTTTTTTCTTCTCAACTATATGTAGTTTAAAATACTACTTTAAAAGTTTATTTTCAGGGGCAGACAGTGTGCCTGCTACTTAAATCTCCTAGGACAATTCAGGCTGCATCCTAAGGTAATCAGTATGTATTTATATTGCTTTGTTCAGTTTTGAACAAATTTATATTGCTTTGTTCAAAACTGAACAAAGCAATATAAATACAACAAAACTCCCTTCTTTGAAGTCCTGGAATTATATTTTTCATCAGTTCTGTCCAGTAGAAATATAATGTGAGCTACAAATATAGTTTTAAATTATCTGGTAGGCACATTTACAAAGTGAAAAGAAACAAGTACAATTAATTCCAATAATATATTTAATCCAATATATCCAAAAGACTATCATTTCAACATGTAGTCCATGTAAAAAGTATTGACATTTTTCACATTTTTTAAAATGTCTTTGAAATCTGGAGTGTATTTTACACTTGCAGCACATCTCTATTCAAATAGCCACTTTCAAGTGGTTAGTAGCCACATGCAGCTAGTAACTACCTACTGAACAATGCAGTTCTGCATAACTGGGCTGTTTTACAAACTGATCACTTATTTTTTTTATTCAGATAATGACTGAGTACTCAGGCTAGCCACAGGGGTGTAAAAATGAATCAAATTAATTCTGATAAGAGAGAGTTGTAAATCACTAGCAATTACACAGTGTGGTAGATGCCATGATAGAGATGCAGAGAAGAAACCCTGACTTGGCCGCTGAAGGGCACAGGGTGGAAAGCGGTGGGGAGACAAGAAAGGTTGCACCGAAATAACATTTGACTTAGAAATTAAGTGCACGAAGGGAAGCAGGCTGTGGGGTGACCGGAGTTGCCGGTTACCAATCTTGCTTACTGAGTGGGGCTTCAAAGGACGCTGGCCTACGGGTTGTAGGCATGTGTGGGGTGAAGGGGTAAGAGGACGGGAGAGGATTGGTTGGGAGGAACCCGGAGCTCCATCTGGTGGGTGGACGGAAGCCGCAGGGGGGCGCTACTCGCACTTGTCGCTCAAGCGACCGGCTCTAAAAACCGTGGGAGCGGCGCGGCTGCTGGAGCTCCTGGGCTCCTTAACCTAGAGAGCGACGCGCGAGGTAAGGCGCGCGCCTGACCGGCTCATAAAGGGCACTCGCTCGCCCGCACTCCTCACGCTCCAAATTCAGCCTCGTTACACCCGGGCCTCAGAGCCCTTAGAACTTGGCAGTCCCGTGTCGGCGACGAGGAGCACCTAGTAAAACAGCGCCTAGGGTTTTGCTTGTTTGTTTCAACAGATGCCTACGACTTTAAACGGGCTGCGTGATAAAATGAGTCTATGGAAACGGTTGCCAGGGCCAGCGAACTGCGGCTCCCGGAAGTCCTTTGACGCTTTCGTAACAATGAAGCTATTGGACCAATGAGGTGCCTCTTCCGGTTTTGTCCGCGCTCGCGCAGTACTTCTTCATCAAGATTGCCTTTAACCCCGGAATTAAGATCTTCCGGGCTTCTCTCTCCTCAAGATGGCCTCTGAAGACGAGTTACTGCTGCCGCGGCTCCCAGAGCTGTTCGAAACCAGCAAACAGCTGCTAGATGAAGTAGAAGTAGCGACTGAACCCGCCGGTTCCCGGATAGTCCAGGAGAAGGTGTTCAAGGGCCTGGACCTCCTTGAGAAGGCTGCGGAAATGTTAAAGCAGCTCGACTTGTTCAGGTATGGGGGAGATAGTAGTAATTGTTACCAAGAGTGGAGCCATTGCGCCTGAGTGGAGGGGACCTTTAGCAGTGAGAACCTTTCGTTCCTACTTCCCACTGTGATCTTGTGTACACGGTTTACATTCCCCACCTCTCTTCCCAGATGGTTGATATCCCACGACTCTGCTCCCTAGTGTCTGCTGATTGCATAGGCATTGGGTGTGAGCGCTCAGCCACGTTCATTGAGTGAAACTGGCCGCTGTTCCCGTGCCTCCTCCCTCTGCTCCACTTTGAGCCCAGCCTCCCCTTCTGTACCCCAGGAAGCAGGCCGCAATTTGAATGCCCAGCCAGGCTTCACTGCCTCCTTTTTGCTGTTCCAGCCGAAATGAAGATTTGGAAGAGATTGCTTCCACCGACCTGAAGTATCTGTTGGTGCCAGCGTTTCAAGGAGCCCTCACCATGAAACAAGTTAACCCCAGCAAGCGTCTTGATCATTTGCAGCGGGCTCGAGAACACTTTATAAACTACTTAACTGAGTGCCGTTGCCATCATGTGGCAGAGTTTGAGCTGCCCAAAACCAAGGACAACTCAGCTGAAAATCACACTGCTGATTCCTCCATGGCTTATCCTAACCTCGTTGCTATGGCATCTCAAAGACAGGCTAAAATAGAGAGGTGGGTCAATAGCTATAATTTGAGTGCTGCCCAGTGGCAGTGCTTTTCGGGGGCATGCTTTCTTGGTGGGTGGTAGGGGGCCAGAATGGTGTGTGTCACTTGGTTCTTATTGAGCATAGGCCCTGGGGAGAGCAAACTGAGTTTTTCAAGAAGCCTCTGTTTTTGTTGAGATCATAATACCTACCTGTCAGACCCCTACTATGTTATGGTTGCCAACAGCAGCAATGTGGTTTAGCAAACTGTCTGCCAACCGTTTCCACATCACACCATATGTTCATATGGTAGAGTGAGGTAGATGTCTCTGAAGTGCACAGTATCTGAAAGCTAGGCCATTTTGTGGTCCATTGACTGAGGAGCTCTGTTCAGTCTACTGGAGCAGATGTGTAACATCCTGAACTGATCTTTGTCCTTGCATAGCTTCATCGTGTGACCTTGGAAAAGTTGCTTACTTTCTTAGTGGTGGTGGTGGTGGTGGTTTTTAAACATTTAATGGGTGGTCATAGTGCCTAGGAACTATGCTAGGCACTGGGGATAGAAACTGCATAGGTATTTGTGTGAATATGACTGGTCCCTGCCTTGGAGGAGCATACAACCTGGTGAGGAAAACAGGCATAGAAACAGAATGTCAATATAAAGTGATGTTATGGAGGTATGTACAAGGTACTATGAGAGCAGACAGGAGGGGCACCTAACCAAAGGGAGCAGGAGAGAGGAGAAGGCCCCCTGGAAGAGGTGACTCCTGAGTTCTTTAAATGTAAATAGGAATTTCCAGAGGAAAAATAGAGGAGGGCATTAGCCAGCAGAGGTAACAGCTGTAGTAAATCCGCAGAGGCGTTAACGAAACGGTGGGTGGAGATGTGTAGGACAAAAACAGCAGCTATAAGCAATTAGGTGATGGTAGAACGCAAAGAGGGTGGTGGTAAGAGGGAAGGAATGATAATGAAGAATGTTGTAGGGTCCACACCCAGGAGAGCCTGGGCTGTGAGGAACATGAAGGAGCAACTTGTTGCTGAGAACTTGGTAAGGTGTTTGAATCCCAACTCGAACAATGTGATTAATCAGTGTGATTTTTGGCAAGTTGTTTAATCTTTCAGTACCTTAATTTCTCCAGCTGCAAAATTCAGATAATAATAGGTCCTTCCTTATAATTTATGAGGATTTAAAGAGAACCATATAAAGCACTTAGCACAATGTTTGACACAGTAAGCACTCAAAACCAACTATTATTATTTGTGGCTAAGAGTATTGGTCGTAGAGTCAGAGACCCAGAGACCTGGGTTTGAGACCCAGTTTTACTTATAATCTGTTGGACTTTGGGGAAGGTATTTAACCTAACTGAACCTCAGCTTTCCTCATATGTGAAAACTAAATAATAATGGTACAGACAGTCCCTGACTTACGATGGCTTGACTTAGAATTTTTTTACTATATTGGTGCAGAAGCAATACACAGTCAGGGGAATATCAATAAATTACATGAGTTATTCAACACTTTATTATAAAATAGGCCTTGTGTGAGATGATTTTGCCCAACTGTAGGCTAATATAAGTATTCTGAGCATATTGCAGATAAACTAGGCTAAGCTATGATGTTCAATAAAGTGTATTAAATGCATTTTCAACTTACCATGTTTTCAATGTATGGATATAGCCCCACGGTAAGTTGAGACCCATGTGTACCTATCTCAGGGTTAATAAGCACAAATGGGAAAAAGCACATAAAACAGCACAATATCTGGCACATGGTGAGTGTTCTATAAATGTCAGGTGCTATTAGGTAGGCCATGCTAAAGAGCTTACTTTGGTTTGTGACTGAGATTCACTGAAGAGTTCTGTTTCTCTTTTTTTTTTTTTTTTTTTTTTT